TGGCGGGTGTGGCGGTGGTGGATGGGGTTACCGGCGGTCTCCCGGTGGTGGCGTCGATCCGTGTAGTGGCGGGGTTGGCGGGCGGAGGTGTGGCCGGTGGTTGCATGTTCCAGTGGACCTACGACTTGGTCCCGGCGAGCGGCGTAGGTTTGGGTAGCGGCCCGATGTGTTGGTTACTCTGGTCATGGGCTACGACGGCGGTGGGAGGTATGGTGGCCTCCCTGCTGCTTGCTGTCTACACGGCAGCTCGGCGATTCTGGCTGCATCGACGGCTAGCTTCTCCACCGGCGTCGGCTCGTTTTGCAGGTGGACTGTTTCGGCCTTTGACCCCTCTCCTCGGCATTCAGGCGATACTTTCATCGAAGGGTGGGCTCTCCCCCAGTTGTGGTTCATCACTCGTCTCGCACCCGGCAGCAGGATGAACTCGTCTTGCGCCCGGCAGCAGGACCGAGCTTGTCTCGCGCCCGCCATCAGGACCGAGCTTGTCTCGCGCCCGCCATCAGAACCGAGCTCGTCTCGCACCCGACAGCAATACGATGCTCGTCTCGCGCCCAACGGCAGGACCGAGCTCGTCTCGCGCCCGGTGCCGAGGACGGGTTGATGGAGGCCATTTTTGGCTGGCCTTTTGGGTCTCGGCACTGCAGGCCGCCCAGGGGTGCAAAAGGCGGGTCCTTTCCACTTGTATCTTTGGTTGGGGCAGCGGTAGGGCTCGGGTGGGGTGGTGTCATGGTCTTGGATGCGGGGGCGGTGACCCTGGTGGTGGAACCACGGAGCTCATGGGCAAAGCCGGTGGCTCGGTGCTGCCCGGTGCCACAACCGTGTGGGCAGCGTGGTAGCCGGGGGTGTGTCGTGTGGTGGAGATGCGTGTGGGCGGGGTGAAAACCTGATCTATCTTTGGATGGACCGGCGGCGACGAAGCTCGTTCCCTTCTTGAAGGCGTCGTCGCGGCTCTCGTTGCCCGTCGTGGTGCTCCAAGGGAAACTCTGATCCTCAGATCGGGCGGTGGCGGCACTCCGGTGTCGTTTCCTTCATGAAGGCGCTGCCTTGAAACTCATGATTCGTCGTATGTGGCTTCACTTCTACGCGGTGGCGTGTTCACGGCGGTAGCCCCCGGCTGCTCTTGTAGTGCTAGGGGTGGTGTTGTTGCGCTCATCTCCTATGTATCTTGCCTTGATATGTGTGTGCAGGGGCGTAGCTACGTACAGCTAGCCGGTGTCACTGGCACCGGGTCCAATTTGTAGTTGCTTAATATAATTCATTGATTTAGTGTGTAGTTCATTGATTGTTTGACATGTGGGCATGTGTTTTTCTATGTGGACAACGGATAATTTTCAGTCTGGATCCGCCCCTGTGTGTGAGTGTGTTGTGAGAGCGTGCGTTTGTATCAAGTGCCATTGATCATTATAGGTACAAAGTTAGTATAAAATTGAGTCAACTATTTTAAAATGAAGGGAGTACTTTATAAAGCGGGGCGAAAGCATTTTTGGTAATTGACTCTTGCTCTTAGGAGACGCGCCTAGCCCCTTGTTCACCGCAAGAAAATACTCCCTCACGTTCTTATATTAAATTATTATAGAGGGAGTACCAAATACAAAAATACAATCTTTCCCTACTAATAAAGCAGCTAATGCTTCTGCCCGTACGTCGTTGGCGTTTTTGCGCAAAAGCCCTTCTATTTCTTTGAAATAAGCCCGCAGTCCCTGTTTAAGTGGCACTCTGGAAAAATGTTTCATGTTTGCGCGACATCACGGGGACGACGCCACCGCCCCGGCGCCTGCCAGATCCAAGCGGGGAAGGGGAGGAGGGGGCATCCCAGCGGTGGTGAAGCTTGGCGGAGTAGGGGGCGGGTCGGCCTGCTGGTTTGCCGGCACTGGAAAGGCTCGTGGCAGGGAGCTCCTCTCCTCTGCTTTGGGAGGTGGCTGAAGCGCTCGGGCTGCAGAGCTGCTTTGTACAGAGTAGCCTGGCCATCCACGAGGGCACCCGGGCGCCGCCGGCGTTCCTCATCGAGCTGCCCAAGTTAGCGGCCGCGCTGCACAGGTAGATGGGCGCTGGGACCGTGAACTGGCGCTCGAGAGTGACACCCGCAGCGCCGTTGTTGTGCGGTGGAGCTGCTGCTTCCTGTTCGAGAGGTAAGAGAGAGTGTGAGGAGAGGCAGTACACCGGTGGTAGAAGGGGATGAGGGAGGAGGAAGGAGGGAGGAGGTAGCTCACCGGCGGGGGTCCTGCTGCTGCTACTGCAGTCTGCAGATCGTCGACGAGGGCGCGAGGAGGAGGCGCTCGGGTGGTGGGATGGGATCTGAAGATACAGAGGAAAAGGGACTTGCGCGAGGACGGCCGGCGTTGGAGCATGAGTGAGCATGGCCATGGCCGCCGTCGCCATTGAACGGCACGAGCGTCGGTGCTGGAGCGCACGGCGCGGAGCTAGCTCCTCTGCAGAGGAGCCCATCGTGGGATTCCCGGTGGTTGCGCGGGTGTGTAGCGCGCGCCATGGCCGGGGGAGCGGGGATTCTAGGCGGGGGAGCCAGCGCCCATGGCCGGGGTGGTGAAGGGATCCGGGGGAGCGGCGAGATTCGGTGGCGTGCGCCGCGGCGGTGGGTGCAAGCGGCAGCGGCGGCGTGTCCCAGGGGAGGTCGGCATGTGAATAACTGGCGCAGCGAAGAAAAACTGAGGAGATAAGATTCTGTGGAGGAGCGCTAGCGATGCGGCTGCTGGTTTCTTCTAGACCAGCCGACGTGTGTGGCTATCTTTTTTTAGACAGTTTTTTTTATACTAGCGTGCATGCAGGTTCACAGTTTCTGTTTTTAATAATTTGGACTTTTTTTTACGAGATTAAGACTTTGAATCCTTCATGCACCGATAAAAATCTTCGAGTCCATCACTTGGGCGTGTTAGTGTGTGCGTCTTTGTTCTCTGAACCACGCACACATTGCCTTTCTGTTTTAAGGTTGAATTTGACTCATATCAAAAAAAATGAATTAGACTATGTGTATGTCCCTCACTCTGACTAGCTGCTAGGGCGCAAAAACTGAAAATAAACAAACACCATACATACATGAATAAGGATCAGACAATATATTGGACTAACATATATACAGAGGTTAAGGCACACACGACGAAAACATATGTGCTTACACATTCAGTAAAGTAAATATAAAATAAATTTTCTCCAGTTGATTCCGGTTCATACAAGTGCATAATAAGCCATTGACGTCAAAACGACATTGACGTGTCATGCCAATATAGGCTTTAGTTGATCTCAATGAAGCTATGTTCGGGATCAGAAAAAGGAATCCATGCCTGACATCCTTAAAGATGGACATGTTGGTATGGAGGGACTTGGCAACCACCTTATACATACTTCGGGCCCAAACATTAATGGTATGGAGAAAAACCAACAATTGTATCAAGGTAAAATTACTTTGAAAGTGTTACATGCATAAAAGAATATTGTTTGATGGTAGTACAATAATTAATCTGCCGATGTGGTATGCTTTTTTCACTAGGCAACGATGATTTGATCTACAACATCCTAACATTTTTTTGGTTCCTAAATTGTAGGACGCTAGCAATACAGACGTCATCATTAATTAACTCATCCATGCTTATCGGAAACCATATTTAGGGGTACCATAGTACAAAAATATTATTATTTAAACAAAAAAATATAGTAAACAAAAGTAACCTACTTTGGTGAGCTAGCTTACTTTATTAAATAAAGGTAATTACAGAAGTTGTTATACCCTACTATCATGATTTGAAGACATTAATAATTCTATATAGGATAACAATAACTTTACGTAGTGATAATCACCTAAAAGGATTTAGATAGAATATCATAGTTGGCTAATATAAACTTAAACTGGCAGCCAAAATAGTTGCACAATTTAAGAAGGGGTTGCCGGGAAGAAGTAAAACATTATTGTACAAACAACACATATTTGATGCTTATCTGCAGGCTCATGAGATTAATTTATGAGTAGCTATGTATGCTCTATTTATGATGCAGAATCTAATCTATTTCTTTGTTTAATCGACAATAGATTTCTACTCCCTCCGTTCCTAAATATAAGTCTTTTTAAAAATTCCACTATAGAGACTACATTCACATGTATATAGACGCCTTTTAGAGTATACATTCACTCATTTTGCTCTGTATGTTGTCTATAGTGAAATCTCTACAAATACTTATATTTTGGAATGGAGGGAGTAAATCATAGAAAACTGTCATGAAGGCAAGCAATTTGGGTTGCAATCTCCAGTCATGAATGCTAGGGAACAAAGAAGTAAACGAGATAGAGAGCGTTAGGCATGGATGGCCATGAAGAAAAACCGGAAAAACTAAAAGAGCAACGTGAAGCCAATCAACAAAACAAAAAAACTAAAGATTCAACCCAGTTGCAAAAAAGGTGTACACAATAGAACAGAAAGTTAGAACATCTACATGACAAGTACTTCACGGTTAGCACACACGACAAAAGTATGCATGCCTGGTCGTCGGATGAAGCATACCACATTTTTATTGTATGGTGTCGGTAACTCAAAATAAGCATCACGTGTACGATATTTTTAGTCAATTGTGAAGCACAGAGCATGGGTGTGTGGTTTTTTTTTCTCCCGTTGCAACGCACGGGCAATTTTCCTAGTTAGTAAAGAAAAACACAATTAGCTATTTGCACGTATACTCCTGACGGCGTATCCACAGGCATCACATTCTACTAGTCTCCACCAGCAGGTACGCACCGGGAAGATAAAGAAATTAGAGCAACCTCACCTCACGTGACACGGAAGCAAACCCAACACGCGTTACCATTACTAGCATGGCCACGTGAGGCCCACTCGTTTCCCGTGCACTCCACGAGCCCCCGTCTGGCGCCACATACCACCGCCTGCTTTCCCCTCCCCTATCAAATCCTCACTCCACTCGCCCCGCCCAGCCAGATCTTCCTAGAACCTTCAGCAACCCTAGGGCCCCAGCGAGAGGCCTCTGCCGCTGCCGCCGCCATGGCCCCCAACCCCGCCGCAATCGCCCTCCTGGCTGCCCTCGACGGCAATCTCCGCCTCCTCAAGAGTAAGTGCCGTCGGCTCTGCCGCCGTCCCCTGTTATATCCAGTGTCGAATGAAATGATGTGTGATATCGGCTTCTCCATTGTCCCGGACACTCTCGTGTAGCAATGCCTATGTAGCGTGGTCGAATCTGATGTTCTCTCCGGTTACTTTCTGAAAAAATTGGGCGTTAATTCCTTCGGCTTTGTTCTGCAAGTTAGGCAGAAACTGCCAAATTTGTGACTGCATGGATAGATAACTTCTGTATTTAGATCGATCTGGAGCCTCAGACGGTGCAAACGGCTCCCTAGTGCACCACGCTCCCCAGAATGTTCATGATTGTATTATTTGATTTTTGTTGCATCTGCAATTTCTCCATGCTAGAAATGTCCAAAAAGATGGATTTGCGGGAAACAAAGGACCCCAAAGGGCTCAACGCACTCCATTTCGCTGCAAATAAGGGGTCCCTGGAGATTTGCAAGTTCCTGTTGGAGGACGTGGGGGTCGATGTCAACTCGGTATCAAGCGTAGGTAAAATCTGTGCACCAGTAACAGGACTTGTTGCCTATATTAGTACTTAATTAGTACTGAAATGCCGCATTCTCCTTGTAGGTGCGACACCGATGTTTTATGCTGCACTCAAGGGAAATCTTCAGGTTGCCAGATATCTTCTCGATCATGGTAGCGATCCGGCGAAACCTAGTGAGAGGGGCTTAACGCCGCTGCACAATGCAGCAGAGCATGGTGCGTTCCTCATTCTTCAGTTCACTTGGTCTCTGAAATAGATGGAAGGCTTACAGGATAGTACTAGCTTACGAATGTTTTGTATACTATTTAGAAGACTAGAAGCTCCTTCTGTGCTTAATATTTGCTTATATATTTATTGTTCATCTAGGGCATTGTGAGATTGTAAGACTGTTGCTGTCCAAAGGAGTTGACGTGGATGTTATCAATTACCGAGGGACACCATTACATATGACTGCTGCAAAGGGTCAGCATCAGGCCATGAAAATTCTGCTGGAGCATGGTGCTGATGTAAGCTGTTGATTTCACACCTAATTGCATTGCATGCAGAGTTATAAAATGAAAAATAAAATGTGAAAAATTAGTCACCTGTAGCTTGAGGATGAAATGGTTCGTTCTCGAGATGCATCAGAATACTTGGTGGACATAATTTTAATTATTAATTGGCCATTCATTTGCCTTTACAGCCCAACAGAGTAGTCAATCATATCTTCTCACCACTAATGATGGCATGCTGTGGGAACTCCTTGGAATGCATGAAGCTACTGATTGAGGTCCAGTAACTTGTCTGCTCAATTTAATGTTTTTATGTTTGACTAATCAATTATATCGACCTCTAAACAATTGTTTGGAGCAGAATGCAAGTTAAATGTGCAGATCCTGTCTCTAAAGCTACCTTTGCATTTTGTATTTTCAATTCAATAGGCTGGTGCTGATGTGAATGGTAATAGTAGCTCTGGACCAACTCCTTTAACGGGGGCAGTTGATGATGGCTCAACTGAATTCGCCAAGTTCTTGCTGGAGGCTGGAGCTGACCCTAACATTCCTAACCAGGTAACATAGCTCCGGCTTTGATGATGCTTCTGTTTAGCTATTTTAATGCTTTCATGCTCGCAGTGTCACCTCCCTTGCAGACCTTTGGCTGCATGGTAATCTATTATGCTACTTCTAAGGTATCCCAAGCGAAGAAGTGTGTTGTATACTAACTATAGACCGATCATGCGTCAAGTATTGTGCAACCAGTGTGTATCTGAATACATCTGCTGGACTTTGCAGTCACCTGGTCAGACATTTCATGATTTGAAGCTGTAGTGATAGATTTTTGTGCCATGGTTTTGATTTTTTTTTCACAACACATACAACAGGTTCGGAATATCACAGAATCAGGATGCCATTGTGCCAGTTACTTCAAAAAAACGTTAGACCAGTAGGTTCAGATCATACCATTGGAATTCCATTATTGAGATGATTCAACAATGGAATTCCAATGGTATGATCTGAACCTACTGGTCTGACGATTTTAGCGAGTGCCACGATTACTCTGAACCTAACAGAATCGCGACACTCGCTAAAACTTCAGTCATGTTGCTACATCTCCTCCACATTTTGTTAGGTTCAAAATTCTAATACTGCCATCAGGATGAATTGATGAATAACTAGTACGATTTTCTTTTGACGGTATAGTGCAGAGAACTAGGGTGAATCGTGCCTGTCTTCCAATTCATGACTTTGATCATCCACCAAATTCCTTTTTCATACTGTTATATCTTCCATTTTCCATGCGGTGTTATATTACATCTTCCGGTTTTTTTTTGTAACATAGCACGGGGATATTCCAATCAAGAGAGCAGCAGTCCGTGGTCAACGTGAACTTGTTGAGCTTCTGTTTCCTAAGACAAACCCAATTCCATCTGTGCCTGATTGGAGTGTTGATGGGATAATTACAACTATGAAATCTCCACAGACCAGGGTTCAGGTATGTGTGCGATTTGTTACTTGATTGTAGGATAAATTGTACTCCCTCCGTTCCGAATTACTTGTCTTAGATTTTTCTAGATACGGAGGTATCTAGCATTAAAATGAGTCTAGATACATCCGTATCTAGACAAATCCAAGACAAGTAATTCGGAACGGAGGGAGTAGTTTGCTATTTAGATTGGAGTAAGTCATGATGCTCTTATGGATGCATTCCCCTTGAAAAGATTTCCACACAGTGCAAATTCTTATGACCAGTACATACATGATTGCATCCATGGTCTATTCCTGTGACCCCCCTATCTACGTGTTCTTTGTTCTTGATTTATTTCCGCTATGACAACATATCCTAGAAAATATGGTAATTGACACATGGTAATATTGATTATATTGTAGCTGCCATGTTCTCTCTCCAAGCATGTATGTTTTTGATAAATGAATAATGGTAGAAAGATTGAAGTCGCTGCATCTGTACCGGCATTGGGAAGCCATTGAACCCACAATTATAGGTTACTCTGCAGGTATTTGATTGGAGGATGTTACACATTAACTGAATTTCCTGTTGAAGTTTGTGTCAGCATTTTTTTATTAGCAAATTGCTCACAAACTTCAGTGGTTCTGGTCATGCGGGCACTTCCTCCAGCCAAGTCAGCAGTGTTAACAGAGGAAACATATGTCATGATTATTATTTTAGGAATTTTGACCAATATATCAAGATTATTATTTTAGGATTTTTGACAAGGAGCACATTTTCAACTGTAGCACCTACTGTGCTGCCTGAATCAGTCACACTCTCTATGCCTTTAAAGTTTAACCAAAATGCCTCTGTTCAGGATAGAGCTTCTGCAGAAGAACGGAAAGCTGATTTGAAGTCACAAGGGAAGGAAGCATTTGCAAAGAAGGACTACTTTACAGCAATGTACTACTATGGACTGGTAAGTGACTAAGTGCATGAACTAAAATAACTTGTTTGGAACAATACAAAATAAGCTCAGAAGAAACAGTAGTTCTAGGAGAGAATTCCTTATTTGGCCCTTCCTTAAAATTTGGTTCCCTTTTTGGCCCTAATAAAAAATTTCTTCCTGTTTTGACACTCAAACTTCATTTTGTTCCCTATGTGACATTTCTGTCAGTTTTGGCAACGAACACCGTTAAATGCGACATGAAAAGTCCATTTTATCCCTGGTGTAGTTTGTGCCGTGCGTTGGTGTGTGTTCTCGCTTGCATCTCAGACCAGCGGAATCGATTCGTATGTGTGTACTTGCGTATCCTCCGGAATAATACATCCAGCAGCCTGCTTGCCTATGAGGCTAGCTTCCATGTACATGGTGGTCAGATCCCGTTGCAAATAAACGACGACGCAACCTCAGCTTCGTGGATGCTGAAATCGAGGTCGGGACCGGCGGGACTGACGAAGCGGCGGGTGCCGAGCTTGAAACTGTTCTTGGCCATGTCTAGAGCTTGACGGAGAGATGTCCTGAGAAGCAGATTAGGTGGGTGCGCTGCCAGAGATTGAGGAATCACATCGGCTGGTGGTGGTGGGAGGTGCAGCGGTAGGAGGTAGCAGGGGGTTGGGCGCCCGTGCGACGCACATCCGCGTTGCCTGTGAGGCGCCCGTGACGGTGCCGGGGATGGCCCGCTGGACGACGCTAATTTAGGCGGTGGAGCAGATGATGCTCCGACGATGGCGCCAATTCGCGGAATCTACGATGGGAAGGGACGAGAAAGAGGGGAGAGCAGCGACGCCAGCTCGAAATTCGCCGCCGCGGCCGTCGCTCCCTCAGGGCGGGCACAGGAACGACTCCCCACCATGGCCGCCTCGCCCGTGACCCTCCTCCACTGCGACTTCCACCTCGGCCGCCCCCTCCTCCATGTTGCTCTTCGCGCCGCGCTAGGGTTAGGGCTCAGGGAGAAGGGGATCGGGGGAGAAGGGGAGAGAATCGGGACGGTTCGGCCAGAAAAGGTTTTTCTGTTTCTTTTTTTTTCAACGTGCTAAAGCAGGGGTAAATAGGAGTTTTCATCTCGTAGTTGACGGTGTTAACAACAAAGAATGACAAATAGGAGTTTTCATCTCGTAGTTGACGGTGTTAACAACAAAGAATGATGGAAGTGTCATGGAAGGAAGAAAATAAAGTTGTAGTATCAAAAAAGGAAAAACAAAATTTCTAGGGCCAAAAAAGGAACCAAATTTTTAAAAAGGATCAAATAAGGAATCCCCTCTAGTTCTAGAGCATCAGGTTCAGGATTGAAAGTGCAGTGACTTCAGATTTCCTTGTAGCAGTACAATTTGTTTACTTAATGAGGGTTGGTAAGATTGACGGATGATTCATCATGGTTTATGTTGAAATGTTTGTGAAGGCATGGGTGTCTTACATCAGGATCATACAATAAAAGTAACTACATTTCATTTAGGGTTGACACTTCATCCGCGACACCCTTTTCTGCTCAAGTCTGATGAGTGCTTATTTGTGCTTTTCTTACATTTAAACTAATGAAAATGCCTTCAGAGAGCCTGTTAGATCCAGTTATCATTGCATGGAAAAATCATGCGATGCTGACCACATGCAAATGTAGGTGATGGAGATAGACCCACTTGATGCGACCCTGTTTGCTAACCGGAGCCTCTGCTGGCTGCGCATGCGAGAAGGGGACAGAGCACTGGCAGACGCTCAACGGTGCAAAATGCTGCGTCCTGGTTGGTCCAAGGCATGGTACCGAGAGGGCTCAGCTCTCATTTTCATGGAGGTATAGTTGGTGTTCAAATCAAACCTTTCAATCTGATTCAGTCTCTCAACCTGTGTCTCACTTCCTCTCATGGCGTCCCTCCATTTACAGGATCACCAAAGGGCAGTTGATGCGTTCCAGGAGGCGCTGAGACTCGACCCTGACAGCAGTGAGATCAAGAAGATGTTAAGGTAATGATGCCCTTGAATCTTGCATCGTTGCCCCTGTTTGAATCTTGTTCAGTTTTGAGGTTTTCCGATGTTTTGACGCCTTCCATTCTTGCAACCTGCAGCGAGGCCAAAAGTAAGGCTACTCGCTAAGAGTAGGACCTGCGATGGAGCTGACATATAAGCAAGTGCCTATGTCCTACATACCTGTGATCATCCTGTCTTTTCGCCGGCTACTAATCCACTACCAGGCTTGCTCGTATTGCAGCCGTTGACAAGCTAGCTACTTTCGAACTGTGCTCGAGGGCAGCTGCGGAGCTTCAACAGGAATAAGAGCAATAAAACGTATTGTACTACTATGTATTAGCTGTGAAGGAAAATGAGTTGTTAGATGCACCAACAAATAATAGTTCATGAAGTTCTTTTACCTGAGATAGACGAGGCCAGCATGAAAATCCCTTGCAAGTTAAAATCCCCTTCAGCCACCTTGGCCAATTCGGTTGCCAGGGATCCTCCCGGGATCCCCCTACTTTCCCTGGATAGGAAAATCACGAGCTGAATCAACCCAGAGGAGCCGAGCCTACCGTGCAATTCGGTCGCCTGCGAAGGGGAAGGACCCCCTCCCTTTCCCTGACTGTTGCCGGGTGTGACTTTCACGCCTCAAGAGGCTGGGGACAAAATCCTCGCTCGCTCTCGCAACTGAGTGGCGGCGTTGGATGATGACTACGATTTTTCTCCGTCCGGCGGCCGGGACCGACGCCCTAAGAGCAACTTGGGGTCAAAGTGAACACAAAAGTTGGCCCGATGCGCCGGGCCAAACGGAGGCGCATCCGCTTTTTATTGGTCGGACGATCCATTTCTGACCTTTTTATCAGTTGGATGATCCATTTCAGACCCAAATTTAGGCCTCACGCCCGCCTACTTCTTTTGGCCCACCAGTTGGTAGCATGTAGGTCATTCTCTTCCTGCCCATCGACAACAAGCCCCTGCCCGTCGTCGCCGCCGCCCAGCTTCGATGCCCTTGCCAGCAGTACGGACCCATATACCTCCGCCAGGCCAAACGGAGGCGCGTCCGCTTTTTATTCGTCGGACGATCCATTTCTGACCTTTTTATCTGTTGGACGATCCATTTCAGACCCAAATTTAGGCCTCACGCCCGCCTACTTCTTCTGGCCCACCAGTTGGTAGCACGTAGGCCATTCTCTTCCTGCCCATCGACAACAAGCCCCTGCCCGCCCCACCTGTCGTCGCCGCCCAGCTTCGATGCCCTTGCCAGCAGTACGGACCCATAAACCTCCCCCGCACACGGCCACCTTTTCGTGTCCTTGCCATCATTGCCTTGCCTTCGGGCCACCGCGGCTCCCCCTCGACGTCGCTGCGACCACGAAGTTGCCCCCGTGACCCCGACCAACTCCTTCGTCTAACACTGCCAGCCAGCTACCTGGTCCATGGAAGACGTGTATCTCTTCGCCGGCCAGCTTCTTCGACGACGCCCGCAGCTATTCAATAGTTTGCCCCCAAGGTACAAATGGACTCCGCTGACAGGTTCTTTTTCCATAATTTCCTCTGCGAGTCCAATGATTCCCCATATGACAATAAGGAGATGGTGGCTTTTGTGTTGGTCGTCCATGATCACCTTAGTAGGCAGTAGCCGTTGTTCCGGGGCACGCTCCGGCGTTGAAATCGCAACCGAGAGAGGTGCCATTTCCTTCAACGCTCACCAGTGTTTGCAAGGCTTGCCGAAGGCCACTGCCCGTCGGTGAATGTTAACATCAACGACCACAACTATAACAAAAAAATATTACCTAGCTGACGATATCTATCCTTAGTGGACAACTATTGTGAAGACAATCTCTAACCCTGTATGAGAGAAGAGGAGGAGACTTGCACAAGAGCAAGAGAGTGCTAGGAAGGATGTGGAACGTGCCTTTGGTGTTCTGTAATTTTGATGGGGCATCGTTCGGCATCCTGCTAGAACTTGAAGCACCAAGAAGTTGTCGGAGATGATGACTGCTTGTATGATCATGCACAATATGATCGTAGAGGATGAGCGCCCAAAACGTATCTACGACCAACGGTTTCAGTTCTAGGATGATAATGTTGTGTCTGAACATGGAGAAGCGGCAACGTTTGCACGGGTCACTTAATTTCATCATCTGTGTGGTGATTAGGAAACTCACATTCAGCCGCAAGATGATTTGGTTGAGTATATGTGGGCTCATGTTGGCAACCAATAGATGTATCTTTTTTATATGTATTTGAGACAATTTAATTTTTATCTGACTTGTAAATTATGATATATTTATTTGGCTTGTGAACTATGCTATATTTGTTTGCTTGTGAAACTATGTAAAATGTGTGTATTTGTTTAAAAACGACAGCAAGCCTAGCGTGCGTGCAAAATTGGGTCTACGCGTTAGGTGTACTGCCGACCCAACAAAAACAAGGCGGACGATGATCGACGGTCGACCCAAATCCGTTTGGGTCGACGCGTTGGAGGTGCTCTAACTACCTATACAAAGCAATCCGCCTCCACGCTCTGCCAGGTCGCGTTTTGATCTTTCTACCAGCCATATACAAGGCCTTAACTTTAAGAAGGGCTTTCCAGCACGGAGAATCATTGAACCTGGGTTCAACCGTAGCCACAGTTCTTTTTTTTTATTCTCCGTGCTGGAAAGCCCTTCTTAAAGTTAAGGCCCTGTATATGGCTGGTAGAAAGATCAAAGCGAAATCAGGAGATCTAACTAGAGTGTGGAAAGACTCTATTAATGGGTCTAGACCATTCCAGGACTATTACCCCCTGCTGTTTGACATATGCACTGAGCAGGACTGCACTGTCGCAGAAGTCAAAGCTGTGACTCCCAACACCTTCTTTAGAAGAAGGCTTACCCCTGATCTTCAAAGGCAATGGGAGGATATGAGGAAATATATTGACAGTATACAGCTGGGAGTAGGGGGGACCAAGTATACTGGGGGCTAAATGGTAATGGTAGATTTTCTACCAAATCTATGTACAAATGGCTAGAAAACCCTCTTAGTGGCTGTCACTATAGATGGATTTGGAAGGCCAAGATCCCCCTCAAAGTCAAAATTTTCCTGTGGCAGCTATCTCAGGATGCTGTCTTGACTAGGCAAGTTATGAAGGAGAGGAGATGGCCTGGGGATCCAAATGCTCCTTTTGTGACAATATTGAATCATCCCGGCATTTGTTTTTCACTTGTCCTGTGGCTAAAGTGGTGTAGCGTTGTGTTGGGATGGCTTTAGGGACGGACCTCTGTCCAAACAGTTACTGGCAATATTTCTCCTGGTGCCACACTTTCCTTCCCTATGGGAAGAAATACTACACTGTTGGCCTGACGGCCGTTTGCTGGGCTATCTGGTTGGCTAGAAATCGAGCCACCTTTGAGAAGAAACAGATTAAGACACCGTTTGAGATTGTGTTTTCCGTGTGCTCCTTTTTGCTATATTGGGCAGGTCTTCAGCAAGGTGATGAAGTCAAGGAGCTGCGCAGTGGGGCAGCGATGGTCAGGTCAAGCACTATGAGCATGATGAAGATGTGCGAGACGGCGAGGAGACCGATCGAGGGAGAATGATCTCGCAATCTCGCCTGCTGTCATAGTTGCCGCTGTCGTTTCCAGCTGCTGTCCGTTTTCTATTTGGCTCTTGTGATGAGCTTTTGGCTGTAATAGACTGTAGTATTTCAGGTCGTCGTTGAACTATGGTGTTGTCAGGTTTTCGCCCCATGGCGTTCATTTCGATGTCGAGCGAACGCAGTGGGTTTCCTGGTGTAAGTGCATCTAGTGCCACCCCAGTTGGTTTTGGAGTATTGACGACAAACCTAGTTGAGGGACTAATGTGTTTGTGAGAATTGCAGGATAACACAGGTAGAAGTCCCTCATGATTCGGTTTTACTACCAGAGATGACCCCTAAAAATGTATGAAGACATTGAAGTCAAAGGTGGTATATGAAGATATTCACATTGAAGACTATGACAAGAGAAGACACGATATGAAGACTATGGAGCTCGAAGACTTAGATCTTTCGTAGTTCTTTTTCTTTTGTGTTGAGTCATAGGAACCACCGTACTGTTAAGTGGGGTCCAAGAGAACCAGTCAGAATGACTGAAGTGATGCCTAAACCAAAAACCTATGTCTTCGAGTGAAAACAATGAGAGCGAATCTTGTCCAGAGTCGGACAAGTCAGCTTTGCTTGTAGCCCAAGTAAAGTTGCCATGTGAGTTTCAAATCTGACCGTTGGGACACGTGTCAGTTCCTTAGTGACCCAGGGTCATTTTGGACAAATCAGGTCGGGTTGCCAAGTGGCTATAAATAGCCCATCCCCTACAACCATAAACGGTTGGCTGCTCAGATTGAGAGTACGACTTTTGTCGTTTGAGAGCAACCCACCTCGAAGCCTTTGAGAGAGAATTCCTTGCGAGGATAAAGACCTAACCACCAGAGCCAGAGAGAATTGGGCATCACTTAAGTCTTCTTGTCTGTGTGATCTGAAGACTTATTACACTTGAGGACTGTGCATCCTTCAGCCGGTTAGGCGTCACGTTCTGAGCATCCAAGAGACCTTGTGGATTGCCAGTGAACGAAGTCTGTGAAGGTTTGGGAGTCTACCTTGAAGACTTACCAGAGTGATTGGGCGAGGTCTATGTGACCTTAGCTCAAGGAGAATACGGTGAGGACTGGGTGTCCTGAGCTGCGTGTTTAGGACTGGGTGTCCGGGACTGTGTGTCCTAAGGTTTAAATACCTAGCCACTCCAACCAGACGTACAGTTGTCACAGCAACTGGAACTGGTCCAACAAATCATTGTCTTCAACGAGTCACTGGTTTCATCTTCACTTCACTTTACTTACTGTTTCTCCTTGTGAAGTCATTGTATGTTTGCTTTATCATTTGTCTTCACTGAGTGACTGCGTGTTCTGTTTGGCTTCATAATATCTTCCTACCTGATCCTTACTACCTAGCTGCTATTAGTCTTTGTGCTTTCACTTCATTGAATACTTGACTATGGTTTGCCTAGTGTAGTCTACCTTCCGCTGCATGGTAATAGGTTTAATTTTATCGTTTGTCTTCAAAACTCCCATGTTATGAAGACTTTCATAAAAATCACCTATTCACCCCCCTCTAGTCGATATAACGC